GGCGCGCCGGCGCCGCCAGAGCGGCCCGGCCCGGCTCGGCTCGCCGGCGGTGTCCAGTATCGAGCCGGCCCGGCCGGAGACACGCCAGCCGACCGCGCCGTCGACGGCGCTGAGCAGGCCGGCAGACTGCGGACGGCCGAGGCGCGCCTCGTCCGGACTCTGCCGGGACCAGCACCTGGTCCGGCCAGGAGCGCAGCGCGCCACGCTCGGGCCGAACCGGAGCCGGCCGCAGCGGACCTCCGACGGGTCCGGGAGGGCCAGCCAGCCGGCCTGTCAGCTCGGAGCGTTCTCCGGCAGGGTGTCAGACGCCGGCGACGCGGCGGGGTCCGCCCGGGGCCGGCCGCCGCCACCGCCGCTGCCGCCCGGCGCGGGATGGGTCTCTCAGGCCTGTCGGCCGAGTTCGTCGACTGCCTGAGCTCGCACGAGCTGAGCCCAGAGCCGGCTCGGGTGTGGGTGTTCGGCTACGGCTCGCTCTGCTGGCGGCCCGGCTTCCCGTACTCGGAGAGGCGGATCGGCCACGTGGAGGGCTACATGCGCCGCTTCTGGCAGGGTAGCGTCACCCATCGTGGCACGCGCGACAAGGTGAGGTGCCGCGCCGGCCGGTCACGCCGGGACCCGCGCTTCAGGCAGCTGCGCCGCTTGGCTAACGAGTAAGCTTGCCGGGTGCACGGATCGCTATCAAAACAGCAGCAATGCCAGCAGCACTGCTAATGACTGAGGTGGTGGCCGACCCAGGTGCAGCACCAGGATAGGTCGAACCACCTGCTCCTCGCGTGGACGACATGCCACACGCCATATGAGGCGTCGTGTCCCGAATCTCGTGACTGAGGTGGTGGCCGACCCAGGTGCAGCACCAGGATAGGTAGCACCGCCTGCTCCTCGCGTGGACGACATGCCACACGCCATATGAGGCGTCGTGTTCTGGGTCTCGTGGGTGCAAATCAGAGCAGCTCGTTCAGTCGCACAAGTTGCGTGTGGTGAATCGAACGAGCCAGTGTATTAATTACACTCGGTGCTGTGCTGGTCTGAGCTTGGTCTAAATGAGCATTCACAGCCAACCTAGGTTGGTTGCGGAGCAGGTTAGGGGACCATGACCCGTCCCGCATAGGACAGACCATGGGATCATGACCCGTCCTGCATAGGACAGACCATGGGATCATGACCCGTCCTGCATAGGACAGACCAAGGGATCATGACCCGTCCCGCGTAGGACAGACCATGGGATCATGGCCCGTCCCGCATAGGACAGACCATGTGATCATGGCCCGTCCCGCATAGTACAGACCATGGGATCATGGCCCGTCCCGCATAGTACAGACCACGGGATCATGGCCCGTCCCGCATAGGACAGACCATGGGATCATGGCCCGTCCCGCATAGGACAGACCATGGGATCATGACCCGTCCCGCATAGGTCAGACCACGACCCCGGCCCTGTCCTTCTGGCGGCCGGGTGGTGATGATGATGCTGACGAACAAACGAATGGCATGTATTATTTATCTGTTACGATATGTACGCATTATTCCTAGTGATGTCACATGACCTTTTGGTTACAGCTCTTTTGGATAGGGTGCCTTAAGGCAGAGGCATTTGAAGATTTTAAATGTGTAGACATATGTAAAGGCCTTCTTGACTAGGGCTGATGTGAAGCGGATCGGTTGTAGAGGTTTAACAGGGGCTGTGCCCCATTTAAAATGGCTCTGAGAACAAAGTCTCTCCCGGTACGCGTACCTACTACGGGGTCAGGAGCGCGGAGGCAGCGCTCCTCTCCCGTGGCCGGCAGAGATGGCGTTCCGGATACCCCACAGTGTTTACCTGACTGACCTCCATTGTTTTGGCACGCGACTCTGCGGAGTCACCAGTAGTGGCATTTGGGCGACACGCATCACGCTCAGGGCCGGTGTTCACAAAAGGCGTAAGGCAGAGGGCGCTCAGCGCTGAACAATGACGCATCCCGCCCCGAAAACACGCTAGGTAACGGGTATCTCCCGAATATGGTCCGCTTTCTTCTGAAATTGGGGGTTGGTGCCCGAGGTGCGGGAGGGAGCGGCAGGGGCTTCAGCGAATAAACGAACTGCGTAGAACACCCCAAGTGAACAGGACTTTGCACCTGTGGTCAGACCTGTAGTGAAGTGATCATCGGTGCGGTCAGCACAATGTCGTTCGTACAGCTTTCACAGCATATCGATGCGAGATGACAGCTTGCCATGACGTTATCGCCGTGCTTGAAAGTATTGTCGAAATATAGTCATCATTTCGTCCGTGTATGTCCCACTGTATGGTCACCACCAGCCGGGCTGGTGGTGGTCGACGCCGGTCGGGCGCCGGTCGGCCCCGGATTCGAGGCTGTCTTCGGCGCTCTCCCCACGCCCTCTCCGCGCACTCGTCACCTGCGCTGGCTTCTGTTTTCAGCCCGGCCGGGTCGCCACCCTGGTGGAGCGCACTCAGGTGAGCAACGCACTCAGGAGTCAGAGGTGGGCCACATCGGCGGGGCAGCGTCCAGCATCGACGTCCCTACAGTCAGGGACGTCCCTTTGTTACCTTCGGAGAAGGGGGGGGGGGATGATCCCCTCCATATGCTTTATATGTGAGGCCGGTCTGCAAGTGACAGGTGAAATTAACGATTTTTCACCTGATAACACCCGGATTGGGAGAAAGAACCATTGACTACGATGTGCGGCAGGTTTTCGAAGTACAGGGCGGCCTAGATAAGAGTTAAACATGTTTCTTTAGACAGTGGCAATTGCATTAGTCACACAATCGTGACTATGGTGGCATTCGACTGCCAATGTAATGGCAGCACACGACCAGCGACGGCGGGTAGTCAGCAGTGATTCCGCACCCGTCAGATCATCGACGGGACGACTTAAAGTACCGTTCGGCAGAGTATCTACCGCCGGGCTGAACTGCAAGAACGATGTCGAGGAATGGAATCAACGCGTTTTATGCGGTGAAATATTGGGGTGCTGGTTTTCGACTTGTGGGTAAACCTGAGCATGAGTACTGCGTCGAAACGCAGTGCCACCCAATACAACAGACGTTGTTTTATAACGTTGAACTGTTGCTAAGGACCACTCACCAGATCCTCGTTCCCGGCTTTTGTTTCCATATTCACAAACACTCGACGTGGCTGGTATCCTGCTATCGACTTGTGCTTGATGGCATTGCGTTGGCTTCGGACCTGACTTCGAAGCCGGAAGCTTGACTTAATCTGCACGCTCGGCAGGCGCATCCCCGCCGTCATCAGTCGTCCGCTTAATTCCCGCTCTTGTCTGCTTTGAACTTCGGCGGCGCCAAGTCAAAGTGGGGCTCAGACTGCTTAGTAGCACTTGACGCAAGTCACCCGTGCATAGGTACTCTGGATTGCACCCTTCAAATTAATTACTTCGCGATTCTCAACTTGCATCATAAGCTGTATTTTCATATACTCGAAGCTAACATATCACTCTTTTGTCAAAGAACCACATCTCATGGCCTGGCACGCACTTAGTTTCTCTGGACTCGTTTCCCCACGCACTTACGTTTCTCTGGACCCGTTTCCACACGCACTTACGTTTCTTACATTCGACTTGCGTCGAAATGAAGGCAGATTTTTATCTCCGGCATGGGGTGGAGTTGATCCCCCCCATCTCTTCACTGCCTTTTCTGGTTAGTCACTATGGCACAGTCCTCCCTCTGAGCACAGCTGTACTGCCTGGTGCTGGTACATGACAGCGTAGCCAACCATCTCATCAATATGGCAGCCACCTGGCCATCTGATGCCGCTCTTCTTCACCGGATCAGAAACCAGACCAATGTCTTGTGAATGAAAGATACCATCCTGCCCGCTTTGTGCCACTGTGGCACCCATCGGGCTTGGAAGACAGTCACTTGTTGGTTCGGTAGCGGCGGAGAAATTAGGATCTTATAGGAAGGTGGAATTTTCTCTGCACCTCCTGCTGTGCCTAAGAAAGGGAGCGTTTATGTATCTTTTCTGACTTTATTATTTCACCAGCGCGATACGCCTTGCTCGCTTTACCGTAACGAACCAGGTCGGTGCATTTGTCCAGCCTCAGCGATTGTTTGGGAGGTTCGTAGCCGTGCAGCTCTTTTTGCTGGTCTGCATTAGTCATCACAGACGCTTTTCAGACTACATTCGACGCTGGTATCATTATGCCTCTTTTCTAAAGCGTGTAACAGCTGATGCCATTACCGGGACTCGTTTCCACGCGCCTAGCGTGGTATGAGACTCGCGTCCATCCATCATTAAGCAAACCCTCTGTCAGCTCGGAACAGCCCGTAGTCCGTCTGAAATGATCAAGCCTTTTTTGGTGATTACATCTTTGTTAATTCATCCGTTTGTTGACCGTTTGTTTTCGTTACATACTGGATGACCCCGGGAGGCGACCCTTTCATGGCCCATCAGTTTTGCGCGCAGGGTGCCGATAGTGCAGTGGCTAATGTGTCCACGTTAACCACCGCGCATTCGGAAAACCAGGTGGGCGAGCTTTGATTTCCCTCGGTGCTCGCCCTTCTTGCCAGGGTGAGAGGCAGGCGAGGCCATGTAGCCTCAGAAGCCGAGCGCACGGTATAGTCTCGATGGCGACGAGCTTTGCGCGTGAATGTATCAGCACAGGTAGCACGTCGCTTCCACTGGCGCTGAGACATGTCACTAAGTGTGTGTGTGTGTGTGTGTGTGTGTGTGTGTGTGTGTGTGTGTGTGTGTGTGTGTGTGTGTGTGTGTGTGTGTGCGTGTGTGTGTGTGTGTGTGTGTGTGTGTGTGTACGTATATGCGTGTGTGTGTGTATATATACATATATATGTACCCCAGCTCAACCATATATATGGTTGAGCTGGGGTAATAGCGGGCACAGCTCGGAAATTATCAGGCAGGTGTCCTATAACACCAAGCAAACATGACTGGTAAAGCGACTCATTTGGTGCGCCAGCCACTGTTGCGGGACGATCGAGACGAAAAAATGATACGAAAACAAATGACGAAATTACAAGCAGCTGATCATTGCAAACAGCCTTTGCGGCATCCATTCTTTCATTCGACGACACTTGTGCGACTGAAAACTGCGAATTCAAAGCATAATTTCCTGCACCGAAGGGACCCGCCTCCTGCGAATGCAAGCACGTAAAAGAACGTTCTGGCGCCGTCTAATCTCAAAATAAAATACTTCTGGTCCTACAAACATTCATAATGAGGAAAAAGGTGTCGCGACCTTACCAGCCGTCTGGTGCCACCCACAGTTCCCAAAGTTGATCTCCCTCGATAACAGGATCTCCCCGGCGTCCAGACATACAGCGGCCACGCCACGAAATGCTTGGACGACAAGTCGGTCATGCGTACGAAAGCGTAATGCAACGCAACACCGAATGCTTCCAATCAGGCAAGGAGAAATGAGGCCCGATTAGTGTGAATGGACGTATCACTCAGCTGACCGGAGCGCCCGGGAGCGTGGGGGGATGTTTGGGGTGCCGCGTGACCGGTGCGTGCTCGGACTGGCGTGCTCTGGCTGCAGACCACAGGCCATCCGTCAGCCAGCTAACACGCCCCCTGACACGGCTGTTTTTAGGAGCCCGGCCCACATCGTGCCGGGCACTGTGCCGTGTCCTGTGTCGCTGTTTTTTGCACGCACTTGGCGTTGAGTGAGGCGGGCGGCGAAATAACGAATCCGCCTAGTCAATACCGTGTGCGGCGCCGCCGGTCGGCCGCCTCGGTAGACACCAGCACGTGACTGATCCCGCCGGTCGGCCGCCTCGGTAGACACCGACACGTGACTGACCCCGCCGGTCGGCCGCCTCGGTAGACACCAGCACGTGACTGATCCCGCCGGTCGGCCGCCTCGGTAGACACCGGCACGTAGCTGACCCCGCCGGTCGGCCGCCTCGGCAGACACCGACACGTGACCGACCCCGCCGGTCGGCCGCCTCGGTAGACACCGGTACGTGACTGACCCCCACCGGTCGGCCGCCTCGGTAGACACCGGTAGTGACTGACCCCGCGGGTCGGCCGCCTAGGTAGACACCGACACGTGACTGACCCCGCCTGTTGTCGGCCCGGCAGCGACTCCGCTGAGCCGACAGTGCCGGTCGGTGCTGCCACAGAAGCAGGCGATCTAGCGCCGGCCCCAGGGGCATGTAAACGTGCAGGCACAGTTCCTGTGGTCATTTGCTCCGCATGCTGGCAATTGGTTTGACCGCACAATAATAACCATTCCACCCGATCCGCCTCATAGTTAGGGTTTGTTATGCGCAAATACCTTTCCGGGTCGCCGTCACCTGGGTAGGCCAAATACCTTTCCGGGTCGCCGTCACCTGGGTAGGCCAAATACCTTTCCGGGTCGCCGTCCACCTGGGGTAGGGCCAAATACCTTTCCGGGTCGCCGTCACCTGGGTAGGCCAAATACCTTTCCGGGTCGCCGTCACCTGGGTAGGCCAAATACCTTTCCGGGTCGCCGTCACCTGGGTAGGCCAAATACCTTTCCGGGTCGCCGTCACCTGGGTAGGCCAAATACCTTTCCGGGTCGCCGTCACCTGGGTAGGCCAATTAAGATCAGCATTCAGTGGAAATTGTTTCTCTTTATTCAGGAAACTCGACTAGTCATTTCTTCATACAATCGCAGTTTCTTTCAGAACCTTCTGAGCTCCGGCGGAAAAATATCGTTTTGGACGCCAATCTCGGGGGAAGATAGGCACCTTGGCAAAGTTCCCCTGGGGGAAAGAAACGTCAATTTTTCACCGAAATGCTGCGAGCCCAGCTAAACTACCCGTAAGGTATCTGGTTTAAGCCTCTTGGCTCAAGGGGGAGGGAGACAACTCCCTTGGGTCATCCGCTGGCTATGCTAGAGCAGTCAGGAATTCTTGGCCACACATTCTTCTTAAAGGAAAAGTTCTTTCCCCAGGAGGTCTGGGGGAAGATGGCAATGCGCGCAAGCAATGATTGCCTAGCGAAAGGCAATCGTAACACAGGAACCATAATGACTAGATTTATGAATACAACTGTATCGTTGGTAATATATACATATATATATATATATATAGATATATAGATATATAGATATATATATATATATATATATATATATATATATATATATAATGCAACAATGAAATGTACCAATGCAAATGCAATCTCGAAGGCTGCAGATTTCGTTCCGTACACTACATTGGCGTAACAACGACACCATTACGACGCCTGACAACGTCCTTACGCGACGGGGCACCTCTGGAGCATGTGCGACACGAACATGACCGGACATGAGCACAACAGCTTACGGACAACACTAGCATTCTGTAGGCGTGTAATGATGGAGGACAACTTGAAATGTGGGAAAGCATATTGATTGAGTTTTCCCGAGCCCTAAGAAAACAAATATCTTCTGGCACAACTCTTGAGTTATTACGTGGGCGTGAAGTGCTATGAGAATAATCGTGGCTGTGTGTCCATTGTGTGTTCTTGA